TTTAGCCATTATGCGCAATGGCACACCTTGTATTGTTACATCATGCTTTTATCTACTATTTTCGTATTCTTTTTTTTTATTTTAATTTTCATAGAATGTGCGAAAGATTGCAATAATGAATTATCATAAGTAAAAACTTATGACGAATTCTTTATTCTATATGAATAAAGGCGGTTCTAGACGATATGGTCAATATGCTCCAGTGTACTCTAACATTAGTAAATATTACACACATACACATGCATACATGCATAATTATCCGCGTGAATATAAGCCAATATTTAATGAATGTGTGTGAAGTTAGTGTATATTGGCCATGTTGTCTGGAGTCATCTTAATCAAAATAAAATTTAGTGATCGGACTGATACGGAATGAATATGACTTCTGTTATGTCTTTCGAGAATAAAATATGCATAGGTGCATATAAACTTCTTTCATAAGTAAAAACTTATGACATTCTATTATGTGTATAGAGGCGGTTCTAGATGATATGGTCAATATATGCCAATGTACTTCAACCTCCAACATTAGTAAATATTATGCACACACATACATAACGTGCATAATTATCCGCGTGAATATAAGTCAATATTTAATGAATGTGTGTGAAGTTAGTGTATATTGGCCATGTTGTCTGGAGTCATCTTAATCAAAATAAAATTTAGTGATCGGACTGATACGAAATGAATATGACTTCTGTTATGCCTTTCGAGAATAAAATATGCATAGGTGCATATAAACTTCTTTCATAAGTAAAAACTTATGACATTCTATTATGTGTATAGAGGCGGTTCTAGATGATATGGTCAATATATGCCAATGTACTTCAACCTCCAACATTAGTAAATATTATGTACACACATACATAACGTGCATAATTATCCGCGTGAATATAAGTCAATATTTAACGAATGTGTGTGAAGTTAGCGTATATTGGCCATGTCGTCTGCAGCAGCCTTAATTAAAATAAAATTTAATGACTAATACGGATATTGGCTTCTGTATTACGCGTTTCAAGAATAAAATATGCATAAGTGCATACGAACTTCTTTCATAAGTAAAAACTTATGACATTCTATTATGCGTATAAAAGCGGTTCTAGATGATATGGTCAATATACACCAGTGTACTCCAACATTAGTAAATATTATACACACACATGCATAACGTGCATAATTATTCACGTGAATATAAGCCAATATTTAACGAATGTATGTGAAGATAGCGTATATTGGCCGTGTCTGGAGCAGCCTTAATCAAAATAAAATTTAATGACTGATACGGATATTGCTTCTGTACTACATGTTTCGAGAATAAAATATGCATAGGTGTATATGAGCTTCTTTTAAATACTTTTATATATAACATAATAAAAGAGCAGCATGAACTCTTCGATATTTACACTCGACATCATCTATGCCTCTGCATATGAGAATTTAAGCCGAATCGAATACGTATATATTGTATATACGTCGTATATATTGTACATATATGTATATATTTTTCGAATCCTAAAAGCGTTTCTTATTCTTATCAAATTGCAATAATTATATAATAATGTTATATACATATTATATAATTTAAATGTAATATATATAATATGTATATGTATACTATGCGTACAATGTTATATTTATATAATCATATACATATATTATAGTATATGTAATATTATAATTATTGCAATTCGATATTATATAACATATATAAGTTATAATAATTATAACTTATATAATTATAATCCGAAACATAATTATGATATTGTTGTATAATAATTATGTAAATGATATAACGATACATGTTACATAGAATTGTATAATGATATTATATTGTATATATGTGTACTGTTGCAATTTGTAATATTAATATTATTCGCTGGCTTAACCCTTGGATTAATTCTGCTACTTGACGGTCTTCTGACTAAAGACGATTCTGTAAACAGATACAGAGAAGTTAACTCATTAATTGTAATCAATTTTGTCGTTTAGCGTTTATTCAAACTTATCCTTAAGTGTTGTTTCAGAAGAAATCCAGGGTTAAACGCAGATCGCAATAGATTTCTAGTGAGGATTTAGAGAATACAACACGTCATCGAGTGTAAATTAATTATTAAGTTGAAAGAAATATACAATTGTTACATTTTCAAGATAAAATAATGGTCTCTTCTTTTGCGTGCAACTCGCTTACCATTATTTTCTACGAATGATGCGATTGATCGAACGACGATGCGGGGTGAGGGATAAGTACAAATATGAGTTATCAGATCGAGACAGAGAGAAAGAGATGAACATGTTTCGGGAAGGAGTTGCGCTTGATTTCTAATAGGAAACTGCACATAATTGTTACTTTCGTTTGCCTAACAAATCGGTATTAGACGCGCGCGTGTGGCTGACTCGATCATCTTCGTATAATCAAGATTTAATATTTATAACAAAAGAGCGATTACCACACGCCGGAATTCCGCAAATAAACTTTCCAATTAGAAAACAAGCATTGAGAGCACTCTCGATTAAATGCACACACTACTTATTTAGAGAACGTATAATCGTATTTAAAGGGATGCTGGAATTACCCCGACGGAACGCATATTCATACTTTTTCAATCATTTCGTTTTTCTTATATAGAATAAAAAATCTTTTTCTAAAATAAAAAAAAATTTTCGAATAACAGTACATGAAAAGAACAATTTTATTTAAGTATCTAAACATTTAGGTGGATATAAATTAGAAAACAACTTTGTTTAATTGTCAAAATAATTATAAAGAAGATTTAAATATAATGAACAGTGCTGCAAAAAAATTTAGACTTGGTATAAACCAAGTGAATTGTATCTTTTGTATATTCAGATCAATATTTCTATTCTCATTTATAAAAAATTATAAAAATGATAAAAATGATAAAAATTGGACACTGTGTTTCTTCAGTCATTAGTGGACTAGGCCTACTGGGGATACCACTTAAAAAAAAAACGCGTCAACAATAGTACCTCTAGGGTGATGAGGAAATCTATTGAAAACCATTGTCTATGAACGTTATATGCGTAGCACATTTTGACTGTATGTAAAACAATGAGATTAAAGAAATAGCTATAGCCGAAGTTAAGTCGAAAATCGACCAAAAAGAAATTGTTACTAAATATTATTATTATTAAAATATTAACAAGGGAGCAGTTAATTTAATATTTAAAATGATCTTTGCAGTTTATTGATATTAATATATAATGCACCTTTATGTTCTTCACATGTCTTATTACTATCATTATTATTTTGATTATAAAATAATTTGTTTTGTTCTCTTCTTTTGAATTAAAGTGATTGTATCGCAAAAAATGACTTTTCTTAAGATTTGTTTGAAGTTTTTACTATTTGAAGATAATGATATTCTCTATACATACGTATCATTTTGAGGGAGGAGGGGGGTAACCAGGCATGTTCAAAAGATAATTGCATTTGAAGTTAGTACTTTTAACATGTGCTAGACAAGGAGCGACAGTATATTTGCAATTACAGCACAAAAACGGTATTTAGAAATTCATTCAAAAACTAAAGGATTATAGATAAATATAATACAAATCTCTTAAACCGAAGAAAATGGGGGATAACCAAACAAATATTATATTAATTATAAAACTTTAGAAAGTTGCTTTTATTATACTACTTCACTAATATCCACTTCGCTTATCAACTCATTCTCAAATACCGGCGCACACAGTGCGAAAATAAAAATTACTGTTCCAAAATTGCGATCTGCAGCAATTTTTGAACATTAATTTTTTTTCACCACCGAATGGTGCTCTCATGCGCTGGCGTTTCAGGCGATTGCCCCCCCCCCCAGGCTACTCCTGTACGATACAACCACCTTAATATCAAATACATCTTTATATTTTATTTCCACAAAATTTAAAAATACTGAAATTTGTTTCTCTAATAGTTATTAAAGAAACTGTTATTATAATAACTGTGTTCTAAAATTCATCATTGAAAAAATCGTATTCGAAATAATAATTAATAAATAAAATAAATGAAAGACATGAAAGGCGCGCACGTAGCGCGCGTTGTGTGCTAGTAAAAGAAAAAGCGCAAATAGCTGTAGGGAAGTACAAATTTCTATGAAAAACTAAAAAAAAATAAAGTATAAAAAATAGTAAATTACAGTTCCTTTTTATACTACGTACGTAGGTTATTCATTATCAAAGTAGCGCAATCCCTCTATCTAAACCAAAATGCCGATAACTTTCCTATATTAGCTATTTCGACCGCCATTTTGGATCTAATGGCTTATGACCAATAAGCGCTTATTGTTAGTTATTGGTATATGAAGTTAGTAAGTCGAAAATGGAGGACTTTTATGCTACATTTTGGTAAGAAATACTTTCCTACAGTTGAATAATGTATAAGAATATAATGAGACTTTTATAAATCATGATTTTGAAACGTATAATAAGAGAAATGATTGGAAAAGTAGGAGATGAGTGTACATAATCTAGCCTAGCATTCATGCGATATATAGAATATATATCAGAGAAATGTACGTAATGTTTGACTTAATAGTTTACTTAATGTACATAATGTTTTATTTAATGTATGTAATGTTTTCTTAATGTACGTAATGTTTTATTTGGAATTAAAAATCTGTTTTATCGACATCGATCAAGTTCGGCCGTCGCTCCAGGTGCTCCAGCATCTCCTTAACCTGACCTAAGAGAAATCACAATTGGCATGTTCGGTCCTTCTTTCTTTATTTTTTCTCGAACCTTGCACCGAATATAAATTACAAATTGGTTTTATCAATTTATTAGAGAATTAGAGTCAATTATATATATAAAATAATTATATGTGTAATTATAAAGTAATTACACGTATAATTATTATATATAAATAATTATACATAATATGTGTACATATACACATACATATGTTATATATTGTATGTATACATAAACGAATATTCTCCTTACACGATGTACACACAAGAAACTCATGTTTATTATCTCTTGGCATTCTTGTTTCACGAGTATAAATAATAACACAATATCGACTTAGAAACTATTTTATTTCTTTTCTTCCTGCTTATAGGAGTTACACCTACGAAACGTTGCGAATAAAAACTCTCCGCGGAAATCCTCGGGAGCGATTCTTTTCCTCTTAAATCTTCGCGCTAATTATTTTTACACGAGTTGCACATTGCCGACAATTCTTTTTCTTTCTTTTTTTTTGTTCTACCGCGTCTCACCTTACTCATCAGTTCTATTTCAAAGATGTCTCGGCTCGGAGATATAATTGTACGAATTAAAGCGAGCTTACAAAGGTGTACATATGCAGATGATGCTTTGAGAGATTTTTCCACTTTGCCGATCATTCATGTATCATGTGTCATATGAAAATCACGGATTGTCACAGATTGGCGTATTAATACGTCTAACAACGATTGTGTGTTTCTATGACTTATATTCTGATATAACATCGAAATAAAGAGGAGAGTGTCTCTTCGCACATTACGATACCAAACATCGTTAGTGAAAGTATGGGAAAGCAGCATTAGTCATTCGCCTATGATAACAATGAGGGACATGATCGGTAAGTGTCGCAATAGCAAATGTAGATATATCGATTTTTTTCAGCACGGGACACGGAAATTCGATTTGACAGTGATGAAATTCACGATTATACACAGAGATCAATTAATCCGCCTGTAAACTCAATGCCGCATTTTGTATTGTAATTACACGAGTACTACACCGTAGATTTGTTGTTAGTTTACACAAAACGGAATCACGCTAGAGCCATTCAATTATGAATCTAGTTCCTCGCCCTCACCGGGAGTGACAGAATAAATTGAGATCTTCGTGCTTCGGATGATCTTCATTAGTAAGCACTAGCGAATTCGCAGTGACGTTTCCTCGAAATTTTCCGAAATAATGCACTCATCTGACAAAAAATAAAATAAAATAAAATAAAAAACGAGAATAGAGCGAACGCGAATACGGACAGATCAAACTCGTTTCCACATGGAACTTTGGTTTGAACGAGACGTACGGGTATGATAGCCCATTTCAATTTATTTTATACTACGGAACAGTCGCACGCATGATCGACCATAACGCGTGGATTTCCGGAGACTGCGCTTTACGATCGCGTGACCGTGTGTCATTTTCTCGTACGCGACACGAACTGTAAGCTAGAGAAGCTCAAGTCTACGGAGATGAGGTCGACATCGACGACCACCACGGTCACTGCAGCCTCGGTGACCAATATTGCGCCGCCATGTCGGGTGCCGGTTGACCTGGTACCGCGATTGGCACACTCACGCCAGGTGATATTAGACCTGCAAGAGAATCCATAATATTCTGTTTAATTTTATATAAAATTTCATGTAAGAATTACATACAAGTTTAAAAAAAAATTAACTTTGTAGTTGATTTAGTTTTTAATATAGTGTATATATATATTATATATATTTATTACTATAGATGTAACAAAGAGTGCATTTTTATAAAAATTTCGATTTATTTTTTTGTATATGTACGTTGTCCTCTTTTCGTATGTATTAGAATATTATTTCATCACTTCATTATTTCATCGTCATATTAAGTGCCATGCCGGTCATCAATGATCGATGCTACTAAAAAAAAATAGATAAAAATCGTAAAAAACGTATTTGTAATTCTGTAAATATAATTAAAACTGAAATAATAGTCTAAAATAATAAAATATGCATAATAATTTAATACAATTCAATTATATTATATATAACATATGTTTAAAGTGTGATTATCTCTGTAGTAAAAATGTCACTCTAACATCGCTGGAGCTAAGAGAATAAAGTATTAAGCATTTAACGTGTTAAGAGATAAATAGATAATAATACGAAAGTAAAAGCATTTTTATCAAAATCTCGATTTTTTTCATTAAGTACCATGTGTATGTAAAGTGTATATTAGTTCCTTTCTCGTAATTATTTTACTATTTCAGGTACTTATTTATCTTTAAGAGATAAATAATAACATAAAAAAAGAGAGACTAAAAGAAGTAGTAATAACAGATTGAACAAAATGTTTGCAAGAGACGCACAACGCCTTGATAATATAAATTGCACATCGATCTATTAACATCTACAATCAGTTAACTACTGAATAGAAACGACAAGCGCTCAGGCGGCTGATGCGATGCAGATAACGTATAGATATGAAGCTAGATTACGTTTGTACTGTATGTCCAGGTAAGGAGCAAGAAAGAGAGATCGGAACGATCCCCGATCGAAACCGTTCGATCGGGGATGAGACATTTGGGATGGCGAAGGAGTGACAGAAGCGTGTATAATCCATTACCGGCGGGCTCGATAGCGTGTTATCCATGGTAGCCGTAGTAGTAGTCCATCGGCTAGAGTGCAAGCAGCGAATGCAGTGAGTGCGGTAGACACTCACCGGTCGAGCTGGCGTTTTGATTGTACTGATTGAGGCTCGCCGCGTGATAGGGCTGCGTAGGGCTGCAGGTTGGCCTAGCACCGTAACCAAGGTGAAGGGGCTCGTAGCTCGGTGGTCTCGCGACTCCGCACGAATAGCCATTATCCCGTTGTTGAAGGCACGCGCCAGGGCTCGGTCCGACGGTCATACCCACGGTCATACCCATCGGACTCATACCACCCCCGGATAGCGAGGACATGCTACTCGTCGTGTGCTGATTCTGTTGACTGGCGCCCGACATCGTGAAACTTGGCATCGACGTCATCGGGCTGTAAAGCGAAACAATTTCGTAAATGTGAATTCACATGATCCTAGCTGTTTTTTCCTCTGTCGAAAATAATTCTTTACGAAGCGCAAAAAAGAATAACAACCGATTTCGGTCAAACCGATATGTCTTGATGACGATGGGAACGTTATCCATTTTAGTATCACGTAGTACGCTGTTCATTTTTCATTCTTTCGGTTTTAATAACATAACAAGTGTTATGTTGTATTGTTTATAAATCCTAATTTACAAAAAATTGTTGCTCATTACTTTCGGAATAACTCTCGTATATTTCGTTAATAAATCTATTCTACGTTATTATTTTTTATTTTATTTTACTATATTTACTACAAATAGTTAACATTGTTATTTCCTTAGTTCGTATTCATTTTTCTTACTTCCTTTGTACTTTATGGTAGTTCATGTGTTACGTTTCTTTAATTTTTTAATATTATTATGTTATTATTATTTTTCTATAAGTATGAGAGTTTTCTTTTATTATGTCAAAACGGATCATACAGAAGTACTAAATATTATGTATAATTCTTTTAAATAAAATAGATTGAATAATAAAAGTAACTATCAGACAATTGATCACAGAGCCAAATACTGGATCAGTATCCATCTCGAATAGCTTAGGGAAACCTTTCAAAGGATGAAACATCGCATGCTTTTGCGTTCTCACCTGTACGAGTCAGGCATGCTGGGTATTCCGGGGTACACAGCGGTGGGCGCAAACCCGTGATGTATTCTAGGGGGCGAGGGTGGTGCCTGCGGAGGCGGCTGGCCCCCGAGTATCCCCGAGGGTGGCGGCGGCGTCGGGTGGCCAGCACCCACCAGGCTTACGCCGGCAGTGTGTTGCTGTTGTTGCTGTTGTTGCTGCGGTGGCGGTGGTGGATTATCCCTCCGTTGCGTGCGCAATTTCTCCTCGCGCCGCCACTTGGCCCGCCGATTCGAAAACCAGACCTGAGTTAGTAAACGAGAAGACAGACGAAGATACAGGTCAATCGCTAGGCTACGGATAACTTTCGTATCGGCTAACAGTCGTGGATAAAACGGTTCGTCGCGAAAACGCGTTACTCCCTGCGAAGATCTCTTAATCATATAATGTGTCGACTCTATGTTAATTAAGAACGTCACCGATCTTCGTGATCTTTGATCTTGATGGTCGTGATAAAATGACCTGTATATATAGTAATACGCGTGGGACGATATAAAATCAAATTATGTCGACGCTGGTTTCAATAAGAATGATAAGAAATCGAGATTAGTTAGAAATAAAAATAAATTAGCATAATAAAATTACAATTACAAAAAATACCGTTTTCCTTCAGAAGCTGTCAACTGCTGTCGTTAGCCATGATTACAAGTTGCAATTAGCAGTTTTAAAAATTAAAAATACACAGTGGACTTTTATATCAAATTAGAACAAATGACGGAATACCTATAAATGTATAAATTGCTGGTGAAATATCTAAAAAATTTACTATGTCTTTAAAAACGATAATTAATTTGAGGTTTAGAATAATTGAAACTTTCGCATAAATAGGCTAAAATGATCTTTTAATAATAAAATTCATACTTAGCTATAATATTTCAATAAATGGTCAACTTGAAACCATTGAACGGATACGATCTTTATTTTTTTTACTTATAACCTTGATATATTTTACAATAATTACTAATTTTTTCGTAAGTCATCAGTCTGTCCTCGTCATTTATATCCGATAGTTTTGATTCTATACTCGGAGAAAATAAGATATAATTTTGGCAATAATAATATAATACCTCTGTAATGTAATCCACCAGCAACCGAGATAACATTTATGATGCATAAGATATCTAAAAGACGGTTTTTAGATATCTTATGCAACATGCATGTTATCTGGAAATATTCTATCCTTTTAAGGCACAGTCGATTTTTTATTGCGAATTTTAAGAAAATAGATAAATAACAAAATTCGCATGCTGAAAAATATTACATGCTGAAAAAACTTAATAATGTTGAGACTGTGTATATACAAGGACGCCAGTATCCAATTTTTGTTTCGTTGGAAAGACGAATAGAAATCGTGTCTGTGTCCTGAACTCTTATTGTAGACCGCGTAAGATTTTGTGCGAATAAAAGTTTGATTTTTTTGTGTTTTACATCTTTTTGATGCTAATTTTAATGAGCATATAAAAATTCGTAAAAAAATAAGTAAAATACAATCCGGCTTCTATTAAGGTAAAAATTTGGTATCATTGGTTCACAAATATACAAGAACGTTTTCAGATTTTTATATAGTCTGGAACAATAAAAAATCTGCTGTGAATCTCAACGTCCTATTTTGGAATCCAAATTGAAAATTTCACATTGCCGATGAAGGATTAAGGGGATGCTGGACTGAAGCAAATTACCGACATTTACATTTTGCTCTGCTATACCTACCCAAATTGCCTTTACAGGATCGTAAAAAATTTTATACATATACAATTAAAGTAGACATGTTAAAAAATAGTGAGGATGATTTTATGCTAAAAATGAAAAAATGTATAAAAAAGTTACATTTAATATTACTTATATTTGCACCGTACTAATGCATACATATGTCAACTCACAACAATATTTGGTTAGTCAAAAATTTTCTAATTGTAAGTCATATGTGTGAAACGAAACAATGCCACTATGCGGAATACATGAAAGAACAACACTGTATTAATAAAACTAAGATTAAAAGTCTAAAAAAAGAGTTTAGATTGAAATGCTTTCACGCACATGTGCACGTGAAATATAGTGTAGAGCAGTAATTGTGTCTATAACAGGTGCTCAAGCTTGCAAGAGATGGCGTTAGAATATATTAAATCAGGACAGATGTACGCATTTGAGTGAGATAGAATGATAAGGTAAAAAAATGAGTTAAAGATTTCGCTACTGCCATTTTTAATTTAGAATTAAAAAATCTATATTATTCGACATCAATCAAATTCGGCCGTTGCTCCAGCATCCCCGCAATTAAGCTTATAAAAGCATGAGAACGAAAGTAAAAATTGTTAAAATATAATCATGGCAGCAAATGTTGGAGCACCAACATTGGATATTAACATCATTTCATTAGTTGTATATAACTATATAAATAGTGCTGAAATAGCAAAATTATATAATATATAATTATATAGATTTCATGCAGTAGGTTAGTATAAATGTATTCTTTCGGTTTAAACTTTAAACAAATAATTTTCTTTTACTTTTTAGTTTCGTTATTGCCTTAATGACATCCTATACATGCAACAATAATATTTTTTATTAATCAAACTATTTTACGTTACCACTTTTTTTGTACTCTAGTCTCATCGTACTTGCTACAAACGATTAATCTTACTATACTTCTTCATTAATAACATCCTATGACAGACTTTTGTATTAATAATATTTCGTTATAAATTATTACGATACATGACTTTGGTATTAATAATATTTTGTTATAGATTATTACGATACATGATTATTTTCTCATATTCTTCATTCTCATTGTATTTATTACAATTGTATGTATTACAAACGTTACTACGTTTTCTTATTATAGTAACTATGTTTTCTATTATATAGTTACTATGTTTATTATACTATATTTTCTTATTATAGTAATGACACACTTTTTTGTATCAATATTTTTTATCAACTAAATTATTTTTCATTATTGTCTTTTCAAATTATTCTTTTTATCATATTTATCACAAATAATTACTATTTTTTTAACTCTTTTTTTAATACATTTTTTTTATTTTTCTTATTACAATTTCATAATATAAAATATTATTTCTTTTTTTATTTAGTTGCTGATACTATTTTTTTTTCTGAATACGCATCTGTTTCTAAGTCTCGTTTTCACAATATATGGTTGCCTACAGATTAAAGGTACCAAGAAATTCATGAATGAATTTCATTGATGAATCTCTTGTTGTGTAACCTTTAATTTTTAGGTAACCACATATTGTGAAAACGGACCTAAGTTTGTTGTCAAAATGCAACGTTGCGCTGAATAGTCACCTGTATTCGCGCCTCCGGTAGGCCGATCTTGCCGGCAAGTCTTTCCCTGGCGAATACGTCTGGATAATGCGTTCTTTCGAACTCCTTCTCGAGCGCGTCGATCTGCTCGTTGCTGAAGCTCGTGCGATTCCTTTGCAGTTTCCTCTTTAGGCGAAGACGTGCCTGATCGTCGTCGGCGCCGCCTGACACGCTACCAGCGTTGCTGTTGTCACCCCCGCTATTCGTCTCGTCCGAGTGCGCGCCACCCTCGAGCTCGGTTACTGTAATAATAAAACGCATCGTGCACTATTATCAACGCCTTTCGCGCGAACGGCTATTACGGGCAATCTCGAGTCTTCTTTTATCGTGTTATAGTTACGATAATTTTCGTGCTAAGGGCCTCTTTCACGGATTAACTTTCGAGGATAGAATTAAAGAGATTTATTGTTCAGTTAAACACTAAAAGCAAGCCTTATATCTATAGAAGTCCAATGTTTGTCTACTATAGGATTTAATGTTGAATATTAAATGTTACGCAATCGCTAATATCCGAAGATTCGTCCAAAGAAAAAAAATCCATCTCAAAAAGATTCAAAGAAACTTTTCGCACAATTATTGAAAAATTTTCTTTTGAATTAATCAAAAGTTGATTAATAAAAAAAGTCACAAGTTAGTAGATAGTACTTACATAATTTTTGTCGAAATACTGATAAGCGTTATCTTCAAATTTGTTTGCGATATTACTCGGCAAGTTAATGCCTTCCAGAAATCCTTCCCGATAAGGAGATGGGCGATGTATAATCGATATCAGCGTGCGTGATAACGCGTCGCACGATTTGTGGTTTCGTGGCGCTTACCCTCCTCCTCCTCCCCGAGTTTCTTATATCAATTCCTACGCGCGAAATGCGCTCGCGCGTGTATCTGCGTGTGTACGTGTGCTTGCGTGTACGTATCGGTGTGCGTATGTGAACGAGCGGGCGATATAGGCAGGCGTCGCCGAGTGAACCTTATCGTCGGTTTCTGGGTGAGCGCGTCGAGGCGTCACCGGGCTCGCTACGACGACGAGGTGAGGGGAAAGGACGATGAGGAGACACACGGGGTAGAGCGAGGAGAGGATGACGAGGGTTGGAGGAAGCTACAGGCAAGGGGGTGCCCGATAAGACGACGGGCGTCCCGACGCCAGTTGCCGGCCACCCCCACGAGATACGCCACTGTCATTCCACGACTACCTCCTCCCCGCTTGGAGAAACTCGAGTCAGAGTCTGGCCCGATATGACACGTGACACACTGATGCTGTTATTGACTGTTATGTTCTACGTAATCAATTCTGTTCTATATATTTTATACATATATATTTTTTATACATGTACAGTTGATGATAAGAAATCATAATTGGTTTGTTTTTCTCGTTTTAATTGACTTTAGCATGTCCTATTTATTTGTATACCATATTTTATTTATATATTTTATATATATGTTATATGAATGGGATGATAAAGAATTTGCATTTTATTCATTGACCTATTATCACACAATTATTTATGGACACACTGTTTTATACACTATTTTTTAGGATTTAATTTAAATCTTTTTTAAAAATAATCTTGTCAGATTAAAAATATCACTTCAAAAAATCAATTAAGAGAAATGATTCTTTTTTTATCAAAATAGATTTTGATGCTTAAAAATATATAAGTATATAAATATTTTTTTCAATTTTATAAATTATGCGCCGATTTGTTGGATTTTAAACGCAATCGCAAATTGAAGCTGAAGTATTAATATCTCAAATTAGATTGATCGTCAATTATATTAGCATTATTAAATGCTAATATAAGCATTTTAAAAGCCTGCAAATAACTTATTGCAAAAAATATCACTCAATGGGTGAAAATATTTTTCGATAAGAAAGAATGGCTTGACCAGATTCTGATTTATGTATCTTTCTATTTCTTTACAAAAATATTTTCTAGTTGTCGCAATATATTCGTGATGTACAAATAGTAGATTGCAAAGAAGTTTCAGTGAAGATGTCATTAATATTCAGTTTATAGTATGAAAAGCTGATTCTTCGATACGCCGTTTCTCTAAATTACTCTCAATATACATCTAGAGACACGGTAGTGTCTCGGTAATAAATAACGTCGAGAAGTTGCAAATAGCTGTTATCGTTAAGATAACATTGTCGACATGGGATAGTGTATCACGTTTTCCATACATAACGTCAAATTAGAAACGCCCACGAAACTCGAAGGTAACGAAAACGTCCGTAATAATCGTCGTATAAGCGGCAAAACCCAGGGATACAACCCCGTCCCTCTCAAGCCACCCTTTCCTCCTCCACGTGACTCGCTCGAGGAAGTAGCTGGCAGACGGCCACGCTAGTAGCGGCAAAGTTCTCGCGGCTCGGTAGGGTTGGTGGTTGCCTCGAACTTCCACCCCCGATGTACCGAGGAGAATCGAGTGCGACGTTAGCGTACAAGTTCTCCGGTCCTCGTTCCCCCCTTTCCCGTTTCTCCCGAAATCCCCCTCATCTTCTACGTCCTTCTCATCCGCCAGCCCTGAGTTGCTCCTTCGTAACCGTGCACTGCAAACGATATCCTTAGGGGGCGGCCCTCCGTCAGTATCTGTACGGTACGGGGTTAACGCTACGAGGGTGTCTTAAGCGATAATTAAAACCGCCTTAACCCTCTCTCCCTTCCCCAACCCATTCCCCCCTCTTTCCATCCCTGCGAAATTCGAGGAGCAACTTCGGGCCTTCGCGGTTGCTGGATCTTGCGTCTTTACTATCACGGGGCCAAGTCGCGCTCCTCTCGCGTTGCTCATCGCTTTCTATGCGGTATACACGCGAGTTTAATGCCGACGCGGAGCTCGAGCGTTTAAGGGAGAAAATCTATCGTAAGAGCGTATAGGAATAAACCAGCATCAACAGCACGAATCGTCAATCAAAAATACCTATACATCATTTTTATGGTATACCCAAGTCGATCAAAGATTCAAAGATCTCAATAATATGAGAATGGAATAGAATTTATTCTCTTCAGCATTTATACAAAGCTAAGAAGGGGACTTTATTTACAAATATTGTTTCTGCCTCATTCATCCTTTTTCACACGCTCTCCTACTTTAAATTATTTAAATTGTCCTACTTCTGTCTGTTTTTCTATCCTTATTATTCTATCTTATATGTTTTTGAATATATCTGCGCACTAAAATCTGCGTTTGACTCTTATTAGCCTTATTTTATTCTTTTTATTGTTATATATATTCCCGGTAATGTAATATATACACTGCAATTGAATCGTTAATAAATTTCTCTGAAATAACGTCAAGTTATTCAGAATGGTTTTTTAATCATGAATTTTAATAACTTACTTAAAAGATATTTATTTATACTTTATATACGTACCGACTCTCCCGCCTGAAATAAATCGGTTAAACCGTATATGAATTTATTAAGGAATATATTGATGTGTGTGAATTATTTGCAGGGAAAAATTCACTCAGCGATTTCCCTTTCAATCCCTTGATGCATTCATATATAAATTATCGTCCCAAGTCCTTTAGTTGCGGCAACATATCATCTTTGTACCTTTTAATGAACAGAATCTCTAAATCTTAGAGATTCTAAAAGTGTCATAGCTTCAAATATGTTTACGCGACCTGCTGCGGATAAACGAGCGGAAACAATAAGAGAAAGAGAGAAACGTGGAAGAAAGGAAGAGAAAGGGGGGGGAGAGAGAGAGAGAGAGAGAGAGAAACCCTCCTAAAGCTCATCTCCTTGCTAAAGAACGTTGGGAAGGCAGGAGCTAAACGCGGGACCATTTTATCCGTGGAGGGGAATCCATGCCACCCAGACAGCTTCTCGTCCCCTCCTCCTTTCCTCACCCGGTGTTTCCCCCTTTCCCGTTTCTGGCCCCAACCAGATCATTCGTATCTTCCTTCAACGAATTATCCACCAACCGGGACTGCCGTGCGTTCAAGCGTGATGGCGGAACTATTCGAGGTTTAATCTACCAACGTTGTCGTCAATTCATTCGATATTTCTTTCGCGCGAGATTGTTAATAAAATTTTCACAATTGACACGCCTGTATATGTAGCTTGCTATGAGCAAAAATATATACGTACAAAGTACCTTTGATAATAAATAAATCAAAGTTATAGTGCGTTGTAAAAAGTCGACATTTTCACGAATTAAAACATTAAAAGATGCAACTAATATCGTATCCATTATCTATTACAATTAAATATTTCTATACTTATATAATTAGAATATAAAATACGTAAAATACTTAAAAATATATTTGAAAATATTACAATTATTTTTTAAGCGAAATCTAAGAGTTTTAAATAAATTATTTATTTCGTCTGAAAGAAAAAGAGAAAGAGACCTATTTTATATTTTTTGCTTTATCTTATTGTTTTTCTCAAAATCAAAGGATAGCAGATGTTTTACATTGTTTGAAACATTCGCCAGTTTTATAAATCGGGACTGATTTGCAATCGCTAGAATGCACCGCGTCGTCGAACAGAGTTCGAGGAGTCGCGTGTGCACGACTCGCAGAGTCGAGTGGCGATCGACGGGCAAAAGAAGGGACGTTTATTAACGTCGATAATGGGGCGGTGTGCACTTAGCTAAACGCTTTAAAGACTACGCAGGTATTGTTGTATGAACGTACGCGGCCGCGACAATGCCGCGCACTATTGCGATCTCATGGCATTGTAGCGGGCGTATCGGTAGTTTACTTTCAATCGTCGCTTGCCGAGGGGAAAAGGATCGTCAAACGCAGCCAGTAAGAATAACAAGAGCAAAAAAACAAAGGAGAGAGAGAGGGGGAGGAACAATTTCGGCTGCAAACCAAGAGAAAAAAGGACGTCGAGAGAGAAAGTGATTCTCTCTTTTTTCTCTCTCTTTCTCTCGAAAGTTTCTGTTACCCACGTGTCCTTCTAACTTCACGAGAATCACTCGAATGAAAGAAGTAAAAAACAAAAAAGAGAAAGAAAAACACTCTGCAAGAGTCGAAGACTCTTGACTTGGAAACTATTAGCTCTCTTATGACCACGTGGGGAGGACTATTGCGGAATCAGATTCATGCAGTTGCAGGGTCGCGACTCTCGACAACGAAGGAAACAATGCTACACTTACGCGATGGAGAACGCGTAGGTAAACGGTGCACGTAGTTCACTCGTGCGTGCCACGCAACCGATTGTGCCGATCGAGACCGGAAGAGAGGCACGTTCTCTTCTCTTCAGTGGCGAACACAGTGGCGAACGCGAAGT